CAGTAAGTTTCAATCATGAAGAAAATCCATTTGTCTGAGGCTTCACTTCCCTAAACTGCAGGAATTAAAACAGGGTGTTACTGGGCCTCACTGCGAGCAGGAAGGGCACTTGCCTTGTATGTAGCTGAACAGGGTTTAATCCCCAGCACCCAATACGGTCCCCTGTGCATTGTCAAGAATAATCTCTGAAGAGAGAGAGAGAGAGAGAGAGAGAGAGAGAGAGAGAGAGAGAGAGAGAGAAGAAAAGTGCGCTGGTGAATGAAGGGATAGGTGTTGGAAAACTATGTAACTGAAACCCAATCAGAACAACTTTGTAACTAGATATCACTGTGATTCAATTACAAAGCATCACCAGGTGTGGCCCAAAACAATAAAATGAGATGTTATTATTTGGGAGGTACTGGGGGCTGTGGGTCACACCTGGCAGTTCTGGGGCCTCACCTGGCTTTGTGCTCAGGGGTCATTCCAGACAGTGCTCAGGGACCATGTGATCTTGAAGAGCAAACCAGGGTTGGCCACAGCAAGGTTAGAACCTTAACCCTGTTCTCTCTGGCCCTAAAATAAGATTTTTGTAGTATATGTATTTTGTTGTTTTGGTTTGATTTTGGTTTGGGGCCACACCCAGTGGTTTAGATGTTCATATGCTACTCCTTGCTCAGTGCTTGAGACCATGAGGTACTCTGGGCCTCATGAACCCGGACCTCTTGCATGCAAGGCACAGATTCAGCCACTGAGCTCTCTCTGCTCCCTACAGTAGGTATTGGAAAAGATGAGCTCTTTTCTCTAAACTACTAAGTGGCAGAACAGGAAGGGCATGAGGGCACACAGGGAGGTGGAGGCATATCATTAAGGTCTTTGTTAATTCCCTTCCTCAAAAGCTCTCAACCCACAGTACCACTGATCCCCCAAAAGGTAACAGACACCCCTTTTCCTTTTCCACTGACCCAGGCCTCTGTGGCTAGGAACAAAAATTTACAGCACAGCAGGGTCAGAAAGTTCAATGGGCAGAGCATCTGCTCCGGATGCAGAGAGCCCAGGTTCAGTCCACATGGTGCCCAAAGCTCAGGGTGACCTCTGAGCGCTGAGCAGGGAGTAGGCCCTGAGCACCACCGCGTGTGGCCCTCCAGTGAAAAAATGAAGTGAGATAACGAAGAACACAACAAGAGGTGAACCGCCGCTTTCCACGAGGCCACAAACCTCATGGCCTCCCGTCCCTGGGACTCTGCGGGCCCCAGCAGCCAATGACGGTAAAAACATGCGTGACCTCGGCATGATGCCTCTGGGAGGACAGAGACCCAGACCACAGGGACTGCATTCTTCAGAGTGTGACACAGTCGTGGGTGCAGGTGGCGGTGGACAGACGCCTTCGGAGGGCCTGCGCTTGCCCACGCTCACTGGCCGCCCCCGAAAGGCTGAGCTTCCTTAGCTCTGCCTCCCCCTTCCTCCGGTCTCATTCCAGAGCCCCTCCGGGAGCCTCAGTGCCGGTTCTGTCTCCTCAGTCCCAGATGCTGGCCGGCCCGAGCTCTGTGTATCCAACTGCTCCCGGAGCCAGAGAAAACCTGAACTCGGGCACCCAGGAGGGAGTTCAGGTTCCATTCCCTGCATCACAGGCTTCTCCGAGCACTGCTGGGCTCACCCAGAAGTACCACAACCTCACGCCCTTGCAGTGAACCACCAGCTCTTGTCTGAGACCCGCTGGTAGGGACCCGAGGTCCCCTGGGCACCACTTGGAGGAACTCCGAAGCTCTCCCCACCAAAAATGCAACACGTTCCCTGCCCATCCCCAAAGTCTGTTCCTACGTCAGGGTTCCTGTGGCGCCGGTTTGCCGCCACTGCGCTCCGGCAACACACGCCGGCCATGAGGACCTCGGAGACAGTCTTCTCCAAAGCAGCTGCCTCTCAAGAACACACATTCAGTGGGGAAAAATAGGTGAGGGAAACAGGGCTTAATCATATGTTTTGGGTACCAAAGCGGGGGACGGCACATGAATAGATCTGTGTAGAGACACACTGTACACACAAATCTGCACTTGCTTATTTTACTGTCAACAAGAAACAAAGGATGAGTCAAAATAAAAAATAATAGGGCGGAGGACCAGAGATTAAAGGAAACTAATGTGCCTATCTTGTCATGCAGTTTTAACTTAGAGAAATGTTTTATGTAAGTGCTTTATACATGCTTCATATAATTTTTAAATTAAATTTAAATAAGGGGGGGGAAGTGTGTAAAGTCTGAAAACAAACAGAAGAACGAGGAGGACTCCAAGCGCTGGAGCACTTGCTCTGCAAGAGGGAGGCTGGGACTAGCCCTGAGCATCCCCGGCGCGGCCCCACCTCCCTGCTCCCTCCTCCAAAAAAGCTTTCTTTGTGGTTTTTATTTGGTCTAAGAATATGTCCCAGTAGGGTGTGCGGTCAAAGTCCTGCCTTTTGTGATCCTTCCCTTCAGAACGGTCCACTCCCACACTCACAGCACCAGACTGATTTGCTTCTGCTTATGAGTTGGGGGAGGCAGGGGGTCAAAACTGCCAGCGTTCGGGCACCACTCTTGGCTTGGTGCTTCGGGCACCGTGGGGCACTGGGGATCAAATCTGAGACTTCTCTGCACTATCTCTCTAGCACACCCCCCTCCAAGAAATTTTATATTTTATTAAGTTTTATGGCAAATCTATTAAGGGAAACTCATTTTAGAAATAAATATGGGGAGGGCTGGAGCCATAGCACAGCGGGTAGGGCGTTTGCCTTGCATGCGGCTGACCCGGGTTCAATTCCCAGCATCCCATATGGTCCCCCAAGCACTGCCAGGAGTGATTCCTAATACAGAACCAGGAGTAACCCCTGAGCACCGCCAGGTGTGACCCAAAAAGCAAAAGAAAGAAAAAGAAAGAAAGAAAGAAAGAAAGGCAGAAAGGAAGGAAGAAGAAAAGAAAGAAAGAAAGAAAGAAAGAAAGAAAGAAAGAAAGAAAGAAGAAAAGAAAGAAAGAAAGACGGGGCGGGGTGGTTGGGCCACGCCTGGCGCTGCTCAGGCAACTCCTGGCTGTGATGAGGAATAAATGTGGGACTGAGCCGGGGCCACTGACCTCCATACTAGCCCTCCAGCCCGGTTACTGAGAAACTTCAATGGACAGATTGGAGGCTTGCAGGACATGGAGTTCTCTCAGATACATGAACGCCTGCTTGTAAGTTTGCCATTGGCTGGTATCTGGGACACTGGATTTTGGGTGGTTCCCACAGTCCCCAGAACTGGTAAGAGTGTTTCACTGAGCCTAGACCATGCAAACAACCTGATGTGTGCTACCACTTGCCTTCTGGGAGTCTCGAAGCCTGCCTTCGCTCGGCCGAGGGAGCTTATGTGACCTGGCCCCAGCAGAAACCTAAGGCACGTTCTGCAACACAACACATCTCACCACCTGACTGAGCGCCCTTGAAGCACAGGAGCATTAGAAAGTAATTAAAATTCTTAAGTTTTAATTAACACTTGATTACAGTTTTAATTCAAAAGTTCATTGGTAAGGCCTGGAGGAGGCTGGAGCCCAAACTCACTACTTTGAAAAGTAATAAAGAAAGGGGAAGAACCAAGCATTCACCCGCCTTTTAGTATGAACAGCATTTTAGAATAACCATACAGGCAAGGAAGAAAAGGTCCTCATAGCTGAAAACTTCTAGGCAATAAAGGCAGAAGGAGGTCGGAGAGATAGTACAGGGGTTATAATGCTTGTCTTGTATCCCATTGACCCTGGTTTGAATCCTTGGTCCACCTCCTGTGGTCCCCTGAACATCACCAGGGGTTACCTCTGAGTGCTGCTGGATATGGCACCCCCTAGTGAAAAAGGGGTACCGGAGAAACCCTACAGGATGTAAGTCACTCCTATGCCTGGTTTAACTCTGTTCAGATTCCTGGCAACATGATGATCCCCGAACACTGCCACGGTCCACTCCTTCCTGAGTACGGAGCCAGAAACAACCCCTGAGCACCAGTCTGGGTATTCCAAAACATCCCCCCCCCCCACCCCACACCCCCCCCAACAAAAAGTATATATATAAAGACATTTAAAACCTAAATGCTGAAGGGAAGAATAGATCTAAGCGATGATCATCAGTGACTGCTAAAATTATTTAAGTTACAGACTTGAGATGGTAGAGATGGGTGGTTATAATTGGGGGCTGGGGCCAGCTACCACCAGCTGAATCCACTGACCCATCCCAGAAACTACACGGGTGACAGCTGGACATTACATGCCTGCTGATGCCACACAGCAAGAAGCACGCAACATGAACAAAGATGTTCTCATCCCAGGGCCTGATCTAAACTGAATCCAGCCTCGGGATGGAAGGTCTTGTGGGTAGAGACACATGCTCAGAAACATCAGAGAAATGACCAGCTGGCAGCTGTACCCTTGGTGTGGGTACCGTGCATGTCAATGCTCTGCTTTCTCTGATGAATGAATGTCACAAGAGAGCAAAGGGAAGGGTGCAGGCCACAGAATAGAGACTCGGAGTGGGAGTTCCTGGCACGAAGCAGCTGTGTGATTGAGCCGCTCTCTTACCCAGAGTCCTCTGAGCCTGTCCACTCCCCTGGGTACCACCATGTCGCCCAGAGTCTTGGACTAGCGTCTTCCTCTATCTGCCCTCAAGTCCTGACCCCTGCAGTGTGCAGTGCACACAACATGCACACACACTCACACTACACAGGCATACTCACACAACACACACATATACACATTTACACAACACTCACTCAACCCCTAAGGAAGGGGAAGCCCAGTGCCAGCCTACAGTTGTGGGGAGACAGTGGAGACTGTCTCTCTCCGTCTGTGACTCTGTGAGCAGGGACAACCGTCTTTTAGGAGAGGTGACATGCAGCCGGCAGTGAATACACCTGCATCACATGTGCACCAGGTGGTACGGGGCACCTGTGGAACACAGAGCCCCACATGGCCCCTGACGGCCCATCACCTTTCATGGCTGTGTCCCCAGCCTGGGACCCACAGGGACAGACTCACCACCTCGTGGCACTTGGGCAGGGGAACGATGATGGCCAGCACACAGATGAGCTGGAAGATGGCCCCCAGGAAGAGTCCGTAACGCAGCAGGTTCTCCAGGAAGGTGGGTTCCGGCACCTCAGGGGGTGAGAAGTCCAGGTCGGAGGCCATGGCCCAGCAGCAGGCTCACGTCTCCTCAGCTCGCCTCTCCACACTCTAAACACAAAGGATTGCATTTCAGCCACGGTCCCGTGGGGTGTGTACACACATGCACAGACACTCACGCATACACACTCACACACGCATGCTCTTACTCATGCACTTATGCATGCTCATACTCACGCACACTCACCACACGCATGCTCATACGCACATGCACACAACATACACACATACTCACACAACACTCACAGGCATACTCACACAAAACACACACATACGCACTTACACAACACTCACATGCACACACATACTCATGTACATAATACTTGTAAGCACACTCATACTCATGCACTCTCATACGCACACACTCACTCTCCCAGTCACAAGACACAGGCGCATATACTCATGTACACTCACATAACACATGTACACACTCATGCACACTCTCACATGCACACACATACCCACTCTGTCACACAATACTCTCACATGCACGTTCATACTCATGCATACTCAGAACACTCAAATGTACACACACAGAACATGCACACAAATGCACATCACACAACACTCTCATGCACACACATACTCCTGCACACAACACTCGCAAGCATGCTTATACTCATGCACACTCACAACACTCACACGTACACACTTACAACTCTCACATGCACACACATGCACTCTCACAGAATCACGCAACACTCACATGCACACACTCATGCATACACATATGCACTCTCAGTGATACAACACTCAATGCACACTCTTATGCACACTCACATGTACACAAATACACTCAAAATACATGCACATACAACACTCACAACACTCTCACACTCTCAGTCACACAACTCTCATACACACTCATACACACACTCACATGTGCATGCACTCATGCAACACTCACACACATGTACACACACTATCACACTAACAGTGCAAGAATGTTGATAGTTCTTGGATGTAAGTGGAGGTTATGGCTATGAGGGTTGACCCAGAACAGTCCTTTCAACTTAATTTTTATGTCTGAAATGTTTCCAAACACAACAGCAGGAAAAATAAACAGCAAATGAGAACATTTCAACAAAAACCTCAGAACACATTTATCAACGTCCACTGCACAGGTAGTTCCTAAATACCCAGCATGTGAAAGCAGGCAGACAAGTCCCTGCCCTCTGGGGGCCTCATCTCGGGAGAAGCAAGATGACACAGAAGCAAGACAACTTGTGTGTGTGTGTGTGTGTGTGTGTGTGTGTGTTTGGGGACCAAAACCACACCTAGCTCTGCTCAGGCCTTACTCCTGGTTCTGTGCTCAGAGGTCACTCCTGATAGTGGTCAGGGGACCATATGGGGTGCTGAGGATCAAATCTGGATCAGAACATGCCTGGACCACACCTGACTGGGCTAAATTTCCAGCACCAGATGGTTCCCTGACCACTGCCACGTGATCTCTGAGCACCCACTGGGATGGCCCAGGCCTGAGCAGTCCTGTACCAAACCAACTGCCTGGCTGCCCCCTGACCTTCCTGAGCACTGCCTGGGAGCACCCCCCCAAAAAAAAGTTAGTAAATTAAAGGCAAACCAGAAGGGTATCATTTTATTTTGGGTGGGCAGTGGCAGGGCATCTCTGCAGAACCGAGGGCACTGAAGGGGCAGGGCAGGGCAGGACGAGAACACGCCACGAGCAGCCGGGGGAGCACGGATCAGACCCGGGCAAGTGCAGCAGCCTGGAAGGAGATGACAAGCAAGCGGCTGGACAGGGGCTCTGGATGGGAGAGAGGACGGGGCAAGGGCCGCCCCTCAAGGACTCTGACCCTTGGACTGGAACAAGTGAAACAAAGTCACCAATGTGGGGTTTGGCTGTTGTTGGTTTGGGCCACACCCAAATGCTCAGAGCTTACTCCTGGCTCTGTACTCAGGAATCACTCCTGGTGATGCTCGGGGGACCACATGGGATGGGATGCCAGGACGAGCCTAGGTCAGCCGCATGCCAGACAAACGCCCACCTGCTGAGGCTCAGCCCTCACTCAGGCCCTCACCAGAGTGTCTGCAGCAGAGAAGTAACAGGTTCCAGTTACATTGAAATGTTATTTTTCTGTTTGGTTGGTTTTGGTGTCACACCCAGTTATGCTCAGTGGTCACTCTTGGCTCTGTACTCCGGATTTACTCCTGGCAAGGCTGAAGGACCCTATGGGATGCCGGGGAGCAAACCTGGGTCAGCTGCATGTCAAGCACATGCCCTACCCGCTGGACTATTGCTCCACCCCTACATTTAAATGTTTATGTATAGTCGGGCGATGAGTTACCCCAGAAGGGACAAAGGGAGGACTGCTACCAGTAACCCAGACAAGAGACCCTGGGGACACCAGGCACAGGAGCCCACAGGGCCTCTGTCCTCTTTGCTGGTGTCTCCTCGCCGTCCCCCCACCCCCCACCCGCCATCTCGTTCTGGCTGGAAGCGCTGCCCCAAGTCCACTAAGGGCATCTGAAATCCCAGCCTCGACCCAAGTTGCTCTTGCTGCCAAGAAGCCTCCGACCCCCCCACCCCCCACCTCTGGGTCTGAGGCCTGCAGCACTCTCTCTCTCCCGAGACCCCCGACTCTCATCCAGAGAGGGAAAACCCCACCAGACCACAAAGCCCTGGGTGATCCCAGATCCAAACAAGCCCAGTCTGTGTGGTAAGATGGTGGCTGCTGAGCTGAAACGCACACAGCCAAACGAGCAGCCGGGGCTGCGGCTACACAGTGCGGTGGGCCGGAATGCAGGCTTGCATGCTGGAGGCAGGGGGTCCAGACCAGGCACTGCGGGGCTCCCGAGCACCACCAAGAATGAAGTGAGCACAAGTACCAAACCTGACACTGCTGATATGGCTCAGAAAGCAAAAATAAATCAAGTAATTCGGGGCCAGAGAGCTTATACAGTGGGTGGGACACTTGACTTGTCCACGGCCAACCTGGGTTCAACCCCCAGCATCCCGAAGGGTCCCATGAGCCCCACCAGGTGTGATCCCTGAGCACAGAGCCAGAAGTAACCCCTGAGCACTGCTGGGATGAGACCCACCCACCCCTTTCCCCAAAAGAATGAAATACAGCTGGGCTAAACTGAGATGTCTATAAGCCAGAGGGAGTGTATGGATATAAAAGTCAAAGGGTTGGAGCGGTAATACAGTGGGGAGAGCGTTTGCCTTGCACGCAGCTGACCCAGGTTCAGTCTGTGGCACCTCATAAAATTCCCACAGCCCACCAGGAGTGAGCCCTGAGTGCAGAGCCAAGAGTCAGCCCTGAGCATAGCTGGGTATGACACCCTCACCCCCCCAAAAAATAAAGTAGCAATTAAAGTGATCTAATTATGGGGCCAGGAGGTAGTACATGCCTAGCAGTTATGGTACACGCCTAGCATGTCCCCTGAGCACTGCTGGGTGCAGCCCTGGAGGCCCCCACACCTGGGTCGTCCCCAGCACATCCTGGGACCCTCACAGTGAATCACTAGCCCAGCTGGCTGAGAAGCGCTGACTAGGCCTCGACCTCCTGAGAGGCACCCCCCCCCCCAAATAACTCACCAAAGCTTTTAATATTGATTACTTTAAAATGATACGTTGAATGAAATGCCACTACTAATTTAACCTGATGGTGAGAAAGCACAAGGCTGGAAGGTTTGCTGCCTGACTTTAATCCGTGCTGGGGAAACAGGTGCCACACTCACGAATGAAGCTGGACCCTTCCCTTACACCAAAGCTCCCAACCAGCAGACAATTTAACTCCAAAGAGCTCAACACTAGGGGCCCGGAGGATGAGTGGGTGCGGCTGCAAGCCCCAAGTTCAAGGCCTGTGGATCCCAGCGCCCGACACTCCTCCATCCCTCCCTTCACTGCGTGGGCCGTTTTTCAATGAGACTGAACGATAACCAAGAGTGACCTTCACAGAGAGGGACTTCAGCCAACACCCCGGGGCTCCCTCTCCAGGCTGGGCAAAGCCTTTGCCGGGGCGGTCTTTATACAAAGGCCTCTGCAGCCTGTTCCCGCCGCGGGGCTGGCGGTTCTCCTTGCCAGGGCCCTGGCGCTCCTGGGTCCCAGGGTGGTGAATCTGGCGGCGTGGCGAGTCCAGGAATGCCATTTTTGGGCAAATACAAGGTATGACGCGCAGACACGGGCGGATTATTTGGGGTGGCTCATAACCCGGCTCTGAAGTGAATTCCAGGGTGGCTGCCAGCACCGCGTCACCCGAGGAAACGGACAGCCCCCCCCTTCCCCGGACGCCACCCCTGAGTACTGAGGAACAGAACAGCTCTCCGGGCCTCCCAACGGCACCTCATAAAGAGACATTTTTTAAATGCCCTTGGCCTCCAGCTTTGTGCTTCAGACAGTAACGAGCCTGCTGGGGTTGTCAATACTTAGATTTATTACTGTTACTAACAGCAACATGGCTGTAAATATTTGGAGCACAATAAAAAAGGGCCAGAGTCAGAAATGGGGTGAGGGGCGTGTCACCAAGTCTGGCCTGATCTGCAATTAGCTACACGCGGGGTGGGCGAGGTGGGGGGAATCTCTCAGGCCTGACCTCTGGGAGGCTTGATTGTCTCAGAAGCCAAACAAGAATACTATCGATCCAAAGATATCATGCATTTAGCCTTTATTTTTTTTTTTAAAAAAGGGCAATTAGGCAATACATTACAAGAGTCATAAAAGTGATTATATCCTCTGACTGAATAACTAACTTCCTAGAATTTATAACAAGGAAACAATTCAAAAGAAAAGGGCTCAGGTACAAAAAAAAAAGGTTTTGACAGCCTATTCACAATATTGAAAAACAGGAAGCAACTCAATTGTCCATCGAGAAAGAAGCAGTGAACTCGTTTACTGTGATCGTGGAAGAGCCCGCCCTTCACTGCAATGGCAAATATGAACACAGGTGATACAGGTCAGCTGAGCGCCTCTACACTTTAATATGAATCGAAAGAAAGAAGACCATCGCCTGAGCACGGCTTCCCTGAGGGCAGGTCCCTGGGAGACAGCTGGCACACGTGCCTGCTGGGGCAAGCCCTCCAGTCCCACCCTGGGCATTGCTGGTGGTGG